GCAAAATATCTCAAAAAATGTTTTTAATGCTAATGTATTTAATATTAGCAATGGCCATATTTCCTACTTTAATTTATATGCTTCAAGAATGAGCCTGTATATATAAACATGCCTACAGTTTGTAATGGACTTCAAATTACCATAAGGTTTTCAGCACCGTCTACCCCAGTCATTCTCAGATTTTTTTCTAAATGCAGAGATTTCAAAGAAATAAATGTAACTATAAGGATCACATGAAAAAATTTTAAATTATGATTATCATGTACTATAAAGGAGCCATCTTAAATAAGAAATATTTTGTCAACATATGTGTCCATTCTGACATATCAGTAAGGCCAGATGAATTTTATAATTCTAAATTTTTCAGAGTTTAGAAATGTAATAAAGGTAGATATACTACATATTATACAGAAACTTCCAAGATTAGGGCAGTTCCCCATAATTAAATCAGTTTACCTGTAGCAAAATGTAAGTATTTTACGCTAAGTGAGATAAAGGGAAAGCATAAATAGTTTTATATCAGTTTTACCTCAGTTTCATCATGGATGAATTTCAGTACCAAAATTTTAAAATGTTTTTGGCTCTTAGAAATTTGGAGGTTTTAGTATCATGAATCAATGATTATGCACTTTAATTTTAATGATTTTATGAAAATTAAATTTAACATAAAAGAGTTTTAAAAGTATTCATACCTGTAAAAAGACAAATCGCTTTCTCTCAATTTATTAAATGATATATGATTCATTAGTCATTAAATTCCAGGATGGATCATAGGATATCAGTACTGTTTAAAAATGTGCTGAAAGTGTTAATAGTAATTTATACTCCCACCAGGAATGGTAGGAATTATTTGTTTCAGATCCTAGCCAGTACATCTGACTATTGTTAGTCATTTACTTTTAGATTTTTGTTGTGAGTGAAGTAAAAACATATTGTGATTTAAGTTTTAGTCCCCTGATAAGTAGTGGTATTGAATATGTTTATCAGCATGTGGATATCTTTTGTGAAATATGTATTCAGGTCTTTTATTTCTTCCTTTCCTGGTGCCATCTTCTTGTCCCTGCCTGCCATGGTTGCTCATAACAAATCTGCTGTTAATCCTATGGAGAGTTTCTTTTACATGATGAGTCATTTCTTTTTTGCTTGTTTACAATTTCCTTGTTATTTTTGACTGCTAATACAGAAACAGAACTTTATATAAATGTTTCCTTTTTTTCCCCCTCACCATGTAGTGTTTTGATGAAACTAACGAGTTGCTTTAGAGTCCTCTAAAAAATAAATTCTGAGGGTTCCATACCCAGTACCTAAACAAACAAACAAATAAGCAATAAGAAGTAACATGTGGATTAAGCAATACCGGAGGGACCACGTTTGGGAGTTGTGAAATGGGCTGTATTTGGGTTACAAATTACAAACTGGGAAGCCCATTAAAATAGTGATGTCAAAATTGAGTAGATCAGGTCAAATGGAATGACAAAACCAAATAATTCAGTGCATATCTTTGTCCACTAGTAGGTCAGAGACAGAAGCATGATTCAAATGAACACATTAGAAGTTAGTATTTATAGGTCCACACAGAATAGAAAATGATAGGCAGAAACTAAGTCCAAGTAAAGGGACACAGATCTGTGTCAGGATTAATTTCTGTACTAGGAAATAGCATAGAATGAAATTCAGGTTAGTTCACTGACAATAGTGTATTAAAAAGTAGAACAAAGTTACAACTCAAATACACCAGACTAAATCTTTGCTGGATGCATTAGAGACACAGTTTTCTCTCTTTACCTTACCTACCCTTGGTAACTGCATCAATGTTTGGAAACTTACGCTACTCCCTCCCCCTCAAACAGGACAAGATTCCTTGGGATACAGTTACTGCACAGAGAAATCCTCATCGTTATCATCTTTAAGTTGTAAACAGTTAGTAATATTCCCAAGTAGCTATAATGTTCCTTTTTTGGTGAATCATCTGAAAAGTTGAGGGAAACTCTGTAGGTGGTGTCTTGTCACTAAGTGTACTAATACTATCAAACCGCATATGTGCCCCCAAGAAATTTGAGTACTATGTTAAAATAAAACTCTTCATGTAAAACACTTTTCACACCAAGTTCTTTATATAAAATTAGATAATATGATTCATTGATAGTAATACCAGATTTTAAAAGCATTTTGCCTGCCCTTTATAGCATAGTAGTCAAGCAGATAGACTTTGCAGCAATACTGAGTTAGCTGCCTGACATTTAATAAAGTAACTTAGGAATTTCTTCATCTGTAAAATGGAAATAGTAGCCATATCTACAACAAGATGTGACATAATAAATAAGTGACTGTATATATCTAATGCACTTGGAAAAGTGTCTGACATATAGTTTTTTTTTGTTTTTTTTTTTTACGTAGTTTTCCTCTTACAGCACCATATCATGATGACTTGGAAAAAGACCAGGATATATTTCTAGGTTCAGCTCCTCATTCATAGACAGTTTGTGTAGTTAATAATCTCTACCTTATTTTCTAACATGATTTATGCAGTATAGCATTTATTTATTCACCAAAGTGTTCAATTTCCTATCTGAAATTAGATTGTCATAATTTTAAAGTCTTTCACAACCTAATATCATATATATTTCCAGAGTCATTACAAGTGCTAGTGTTAGTATTGATGGTAAAGAGCAGTCAACGTAAACTATACATAATGAAATATATCTCTAAAATCAAATCTGAAGTGGTTTCGCTTTCTTAAGGTAGTCATTGAAATTCCATGTTAAAAGGAGATTCTTGAGAAGCACTACATTCTATGTTCTAATGTGATTCATGGCAAAGTATGTAGTCTGTGTACTTGTTATCTTGATCAACAGAAGCCTTTATGATAAAGATACTCTATTAGTAAGATTTTTTGTCACTTGGACCAAAATATGTGATACACACAACTGAAAGAAGGAAAAATTTATTTTGGCTCACAATTTCAGAAGTTTTAGTCCATGGTCAGATGGCTCCAAGGGGAAGAAGGACATGGCAGAGGAAGTTTCACACACACACACACACACACACACACACACACACACACACACACACACGGTGGCCTGAAGCCAAGACAGCAGGAGAGATTTACTCTTCAACGACACAGCCCCCAGTGGCCCACCTCCTCCAGCAAGGGCCCACCTTCTAACAGCACATTCAACTTTGAACTCACCCACTGGTGGGAATATGTGAGGCTTTGGGGAGCTACTTTAAATCTAAACTGTAACATATACACAGAATCATAAGGAAAACCACAAACACCAAGGCCTCAGTGAGACTGTTAACATCCTTCAGCCTTAAGGGAAAAGTCTTAAGAATAAAAGCCAGGTCTCCTTGGGATTTTTATTTTCTTCATCTGCTTTACAGAAGATCTTTGCTGGTTCTTCATCTGCTTAATCATGAAGTTGATGACAGAGCTATTTTTGTTCTCCTACTATTTCCTAATAATCACATGCAGATTTCTTCTTATTTTTTTTTTTCTGATATCACTCTTCTGTGATACAGAGTACAGTTACCCAGTTTTGTGAGTGAGCAAGGGTAGGCACATAAAGGTATGTTAACTTGCTGTGGTAAAACAGTTTGGGTCATGCTGAAACCAGGGTGCAGTCCCAGTCATTCTGGTTCCACAGACTGTGCTGTGTTGTATTTCTGGCTCACTTCTCTCTTCCTCTCCCTTTTTCTGTTCACAGCTTCTACTCACTGCTCAGTCCCTGCCTACTCATGTTTTGATTTATACTTCTACTAAAACTTCCTGACTTCCTCATCTCATGTCAGTCTCACTAAACAGTGTATATCTACCATATGACTACTTTGGAGTGAAGAACCTGATCAACTCTGGTCTGACAAACTAAAAAGCATGACAGGAGATCAAAACATAGCCTTTAAGGAATCACTCTGTGTGTGTGTGTGTGTGTGTGTGTGTGTGTGTGTGCGCGCGCGCGCGCGCGCGCATGCACGCATCTGCACCAAAAATTGAACTCAGGACTACATGCTTGCCAGGCAGGTGCTATGCCGCTGAGCTATATCCCCAGATCGATAAGGAATGACTTCTGAAGAGCCTTATGCTGGTAATGTGCAATCCATGTCTTCCTATGAAAGGAGATAAAACTGAAATATGGTGGTTTTTGTTCTTTTCATTGTATCTTTTTTTTAGGTATCTTGTTGCAAGACAGTCTTTTTTTGTTATGTTCCTACCTAATCTGCTTATGAGGTTAAAAATCAAAATTCTAGGATGGCTATACTCAGATTATTTAAGTAATTATCTAATTAGACATATTGTTTAAATATCCCTAACTAGATATTTTATGGATGCAGTTAATAGTATCCCATATAGTTATGGATATTCTAAAATAATTCCATTAAAGCAATGAACATGCATATTAAATTATACCATATTGAAATGTGGTTGTGTATGGTAAAATAAGCAGTGTTTCTGGATATGTGGATTCTAGTCCAACTTTTCTTCTAATTACCTGTGAAACTTTAGACAGTTTCCAAATGTTTTCCTGGGCATGTTGTGTTAGCAATAACTTCCTCAGCTATAAAGTCAGGGACTCTATTACTCCTGAGATCCTTTCCAATTCTAAAAGTATTTGGCTTTGTGATTTACTTTGAACTCTATCCTGTTTTATCTTTCATATATCACACGTAAGATCAACTGCCTCTCTTCTGTCATAAAAACAGATTCCCATTCATGGCCTTAAAATTACCAAGAAAAGAAAGCTTAACTATATCAGACTATAGTTATTTAAAACACATTCAAATGAAACCTAACAAGATTTTTAAGGAAGATAAGAGTGATTTATCCACCATACCCTTAATAAATAGTGATCAGTGATATAAGCAGTATAGTCTTTACTTTGTTGGTTATTGTAAGTCACTAAATAAAACTGTAAGGAAATAACGTAGTTTGTTTTTAATATAATCTCAGTACAAATGGATGAAAATTAACACATTAATTAAACGTTTTTTAATCACTGCAGATATAATGAAAGTAGACTGAAAATGGAGAACAGATACTGGTTATTCTGTGAACCTCCAGTATTGTCTATAACCCTTTTACCAAGTGATTTGATTTCATTGTGTCACCTGGAAGGAAGTAGGTATATTTTCCAACATGTTGTATAGTGGCATAAAGAGAAAATATGTATTTTTGAGCCTAACAGTCTTTGGCTGTGTTGTATTTATAAGTTACTTAAGCTCCGTAAACATGTTTTATCGCCTGTAAGACAAGGAAAATTGAAATATCTCATAGGTTGTTTGCAGGCATAGATTATAATAATATATTTCAAGCATTTGACGCAGTCACTGTCCAACCCATCATAGGCATTCAACAATTTGCATTGGTATTGTAGTCAAGCATGATGTTTTATGTTTATTTCAGCAGAGGCACCAAGATTAGCAATTTCTTTATAAAGTATACAAACACACGACTTAAGCCGCAGCAGTTCCACTTCTAGGTATTTACTCAAAAGAAATGATGGAGTATTTCCACAAAATGATATATATATGCAGGTCTTTGTAGCGACCTGACCAATAATTGCCAAAGACTAGAAGAGATCAGAATGTCAATCGTTTGGTAAATAGATATTCAAATTGTGGTTCATGAACACTATGTAGTACTTACCAGTGATAAAAAGGAATAAACTACTGACACATGCAGTAATATAAATGAGTCTCAAAAGCCAGATTGGAAGACTTCATTACATTTATATAACTTTCTAGAGAAGGTCGAACTATTGGGACAAAAATCACATCAGTGGTTGCCAAGTGCTAGGTATAACGGGAGGCCATTGACTGCATTAGTGCACAGTGGAGTGTGAGAGGTACGGCTGAATCTGTATCTATATCCTGCGATAGCTGTTGCATGGCTGCCTGTATTTGTCAAAACTTGCAGACCCCTTGTACTACAATGAGTGAATTTTTACTTTCTGTAGACAAAAAGTCAATAACTTTAATTTTACAATCCATGTATATACTTACATGATACTGCATGTATCATGCAACCAGCTTTACAATCCATGTATATACTTACATGATACTGCATGTACCATGCAACCAGCTTTTAAAAATACATTTTAAAGTGTTTTATCAGAATTTTGAGGATAGGGTGCAGGAGATTCTAAACAGTAAAGTATATAGAGAAATATAAAAAAATTAATCCAACAGAAGTCAGAGAAAAAAAGAAGCAAAGAAAATGATGCTAAACATAAAAGATATAATATATAAAATAAGTCCAGATATATTATAATCACAAATATGTGTATGAAGGTAAGTATTTTAAGAATAGTTACAGGTATCAATATAAATCGACCAAAAAGCAATTATGTTTGGAATATATAGACTATCACTTATATGAAGTTTAAAACTCCATAAATAATATGATATATTTTCAATAAAGATATTAATTCTGTAGAAAAGTACAAAATGTTCTTGAAAATATTGAACCTAAATTCATGGAAGGGTTTTACTTTGGGACTGGGAGAGAAAGAAGGGAAAGTGGTTGTTAAGTGTGATATGTGGAACAGGATGAAGAATTGTTTTTAAAACTGAAAGAAAATAATAATTTTTTTAAACTTAAAAGAGCTTATAACTAAAATGTCAGATTCTCAATTTGCAAAAATGTGTATTTATTTTCAAATATTCATATGTACTTGTCTATGCATAGATTTTCTCTTGAAGGATATGCAGCAATCCCAGTTGAGAGAATGTGTAGTAGTAGAGATTGGAGTTAGGAGACTTTATATTGTATATTCTCTCACAGTGTTTCTTTAGTTTTATTTAATGCATGCATTTAGTTTGTACATATATATATACATATACACACACATATATGTATATATATTGTGTATATATATATATATACATATATATATACACATAGCTGTAATGACTGTCTTG